AGGCATCTTTTTTCATCATAAATATATATTTAGATAATTGGCATTATACCAAAGAGCAAATGAAAAGATTTCCAGGAGCATACACGTGATAGGAGAAGATTTTTGAAGAATTTATGCATTTTCACTATTTAATCAACAGAGCCCCGCCCTAACATCAGAACCCCTGACCCTGGGCCATGAAATTCATAATATTGGATCTGTCATAATGTTGTTCTTATTGTATTTTTTTTCTGTTAAAAACAAAAACTTATCAGTTCACATTGTCAGGATCTGTGCAATTGTTCTATATTGTACCTTAACAGGTTCCCAAGGATTGGGGCTGAAAATCGAACCACAAAATACTGCGACTAAAAATTATTAATAAGATACGAAACTTCCTTTCTATATTCTGCATATACCCGCATCCCAACACGATCGTCCTTTCTCCACCGTTCATCATCAAAGCGGCCTTGTGGTAGGGCGCTCGCTTTATGATCGTCAGTCGTTAACGATAAGTCGCTATAACGTAAGGGAAGTCCGTAACAAAGTTATATTTTCCTACGTGTCTTTTAATTGAGACCATAAATTCGAGGCCCCTTTTCACAAAAGAAAAAATCCAAAATGATGTATCCAAAATAAATAGTTAAATTCTCTGATATGCATATGCCTGGTATATAATGGTAAGGTTAATTTTCAATTTATTCTAAATGTGCAGTATGAACATTAATAAATTGTGGGTTAGATGTAGGTACCCAGTTCATATGTAAAACAAGTAAATCTCATTAGTTGTGGAAGTACCGCGCTGATATTAAGGTATCATAAAGATAATTGACCAATGAAAATGAAGGTTTTAGTTCCTAATGTATAACATTATAATTTTTTTCTTTGAATTTTCCTTCCAGTCTATTCATTTTACGATATTGTTCACTGTGCCCGGTGCAATTTTACATACTTTGTAAATAAATGAAGGTTTATGTCAGGAACTATATCTTCAGAACAAATATGAAGCTACTTCTTGGTGACAGAAGTTTAGCTTTAAAAAAAGGATCTGCTTCCGTTAATTTATTTGCTACATGTAGTTTTATTAGGGTATATCAATTGGTGATTAAGATTATTTGCATTCTGTTATTCAAGAAAATTCACTGAAAGTTTAAAAATAGATCAATAAATAAATAAAGATGTACACGTACAAGAAAAAAATATCTAAGAAACTGAAAAAAAACTTTTTAATTATTTAAATCAATAAATTTGATGGGAGAAGAAAATTTCCTGGAAAATTCTCATAAATTTTCTCATGACTTTTACATTTAATCAAAAGTTCTTAATTCTTAGTGCTAAAATTAGAATGTGTCAGATTTTAATGCAACTCGACCTTTTGACCAGGAAACTTTTTTCTCATATATTTATATAGAAACTAAAGCTACATGTAGTAATTACGTGCAACTTAATTTACGGTAAGCTGTCTGAGTGACCTTGTAAGGGGAGTTCATATAATTCAGATAAATCTTCATTTTATTGTAGATAGATGATTTATTGCTTGTTGTTTAACGTCCTCTCAAGAATTTTTCACACATATGGAGACGTCATCGTACGCCGGTGAAGAGCTTCAAATTTAGATTTATACTTGACACTCAGGGCCATTCAGCAGTAGGGTTCTTTAACGTGCCAACGCCTACTGCGACATGAAACCTACATTTTTAAGGTCATACCAGAAAGACTCGTGGCTTTCACTTCTAATGCCGAGCGTTTAGCAAAGGAACAGTCACTATCTATGTTCACATCTTAGTTTGACGCGGCGCCGCGAACGAGAATAGAACCCGATCCTCACGTATTATATTGTAGATGTAGAGATCTAAATTTTAAGCACAACTGCTGTGTTCATTGATATCGATAAACGTCGTTATGGAAGGCAACTAAATTTAAGATAAAATGATGTAGAAATCTAGAAATTACTTATTTTACACACTAAAACAAGTAGATTAATTTACTCAAGGGATTTCCTCTTCTAATTGAAGAATTCTTCCTCTTTCCTGAACATAATGTGAAAATGGCTTCTTATAGTTGGAGGTAAGTATAAAAATGAGATTTGTATATTTTATAATGAATATGATTATAACCAAGCATTTCTTAAGATTCTAAACTATAATGATGTAAATCTTGAGAACTGTTGGAAAGTAAAAATGATTACGACCTGTATACTTAGGCCTTGATACACATTAACGCAATAGTTATTTGTATCATATACCGCCAGTATATACCTAAAATGAAAAAAACAAAATTTTAAACTATTGCCCTGTCTCTAATTATTATTGGATTCAAGTTTCACAAGTTTCAATCTTTTTTTAACAGTGATTTGGGTATCCAGCATTTATCCAAGTCTTTGTTTGTAGGACTGTGTCACAAAGTGGGGACATCTCAACAAGTGACCATGAGGAGAGAACTGCTAGACATGGACGAGATGGTGAAAAATCAAGTAATTTTTACAAGTGAAAAAAAGATAACGATGATAAGTGGCAGTTTTAAGGAAGGATTCAGGCTAATGGAGTCAGATATAGACTTGATGATCTGGCGAAAAGACCACAATATAATCTGGGACTTGGACCAGGGGCCCGTTTCACTAAAAGGCGTAAGATACGACCAAACTTAAGTTAGGCCTCGGGGCGTACGCCAAAATTTAGTCCGGCGTAAATTGCGTTTCACTAAAAGGCGTACGCCTGACCGTAAATACTAGTATCGGACTAAGTTAAGGCCAGACTTACGTCCTTGACAACGAGCTTATGCACATGCGCATACATATCATAAAGAGAGAGAGAGAGAGGGGGGGGGGGAGAAAGAGAAGAGAGAGAGAAATTTGTTTAATATTCATTGAAAAGATGTATGGAAAAGATCACATATTCTTCTTTATTATTTATTGCAATATTTGTTTTGATGTCTATAATAAAAACTTAAAAGCGTTGAAACATATTTAGATTGAAAATATATCGTAGATTGAATTATGTTGAAAGGAATACATTCGCAACTGTGTTTTGTAGTGAAATAAAGAATTTAAGAAACCCTCTCTCTCTCTCTCTCTCTCTCTCTCTCTCTCTGATCTGTCATGTTGATTTCCATAGCGTTTTCTTAAATAATGTGAATTTCGTAACAAACAAACATGTAAATATCGATATTGTCGTCTGCAATATTCGCTATTGACTCTGCACAATCAAAATGTCTTCGGAGAGTAAAAAACGTAAGCTAAACTGGACTGATGATGAAATGAAAATTCTAACATCTTGTGTAATTGAAAACAAAGATGTATTATTTGCAAAACTGTCGTCATCAGTGACAAACGAGAAAAAGAAAGCTGTATGGGAAGACATCACAAAGCAGTAAGCATTTAGGTTTTTAAAATAACGATCAACAAAAATATAATAACATCTCCGATTTGATTACATACAATTTGTTCATGTCTACATGTTACATATAATGTATATTTATGGTCAAAAACCTAACTAAATTGGCAAAAATAGGAATGTTATTTAGGCTTTGTGTATTTTTATATATTTTTTTAATTTCTAACAAAAAATATACAAATGAAAGTAGACTGGGGATTCAAAAATATATTTAGTGTTAAAATTTTACTGCAGAATAAATTCTTCTTCTGCCTTGTGCAAGAGGGAAACAGAAGAAATAAAAAAGAAATGGAAAGATGCAAAATCCATTGTAAAGAAGAAAGAAGCCAGTAGAAAATACCAGACGAAGAGAACGGGCGGAGGGCCTCCCCCGGAATCTGTATTCAAGGCATGGGAACTTGACGTATGTGTTTTCTAATATTTACCTAAAATTGATATAATTATATGTACTATGTATTAAAAAAAACGTTTCGATCGTTGCTAAGATGAGTTTCCGATACTGACATAATTATTTTTTCATGAATGTTTCGCACCGTTTATTATTTTAATAAATTGAAAAAGGCAGCAACTATTTTTTTTGTTTTTATTGCTAGATTTTGTCAATTATACCGGATGAACTTATCTCTGGGATTGACGGAGGGGTTGATACTGCCTTTGCCAGTAATTCTGAAACAAGTATGTATAAATACATGGTACATGCATCTGCATTGTAAACATACGTTCACTACATGTATTTTTATAACCTCATAATGTTGCCTTCCCGACTTTTGCTTCATATACTATTTGATTTTCCATGCTTTGTATATTTAATATTATTGTAGTATACAGTAGTTATAGCATAAAAAATTGAAATATATGATATCTAAATACTAGTATTTCTTTGTAACAGATAGCTTAGCCTCATCATGCACTGCAGTCACATCGGAAATTTCCGCTGGAATTCCATCCTTGATTGGTTTGTATAATTATACATATTATATAATAAACTTATAAAATTTTAAATCATAAAAATTATTATAATAGATTGTCAAAAATTTGATATGCATCTTCTTCACACGCGGAACACATAAGTGTGTAGATTTGAAATATTGATTTTTTTTTTCAAATTAAAAAATGTATGTTTGTACATGTATATAGTAGAAGAAGTTGACGTTCCGGAAGAAGCTCCAAGTGTACATGTGTCCGGGCCTTCCACCGACACATTCTTTGCTTCAACTCTGTATGGATCTAAACGTAAAGGTAAAAAAGAAACAATGCCAACGCTATGAAAATGAATTAAAAATGTATTAAACATTCCTTCAGTTTTAATTTTTCGCGTAATTTTACGTTTGTTAAGAAAAAAAAACCCTAGTGAACTGTTTCAACTTCATTCATGCACTTTTAACTATTCATATTACACATATGATTTTATTTGATTTCTTCTGTTTCAATTGACATTGTTCTGATTATAAAACTTTTCATTAAAAATGAAGACACGGCCAGCGACCCCGACGCTGAGTTTATGCTGAATTTGATAGGAGTAAAGAAGAGAAGAGCCATCGCAGAGGAGAGAAAAGCAGCTGCCCTAGAGAGAATAGCGGCGGCATTTGAAAACAAATTTGGCATTTAATAAATTTGAACACAAAATGATAAAGTAGTCATGTTTTTTATTACAATGTAAGTGTGTGATTTAATGAATAGATGAATTGTTAAAATAAATTTGCAACTTGAATGCGCACATCCTGTGCTCTCCTTGGTGCGTTTGCGTTAAACACGGCATTGTCATTGATGTTCTGTACAACCCCACCCTCAAGTAAGGGGACTTTCTCTGAAACAGCTAAATTATGAAGCCGGATACAGCATTGAATAATTTGAGAACATCTACTTAGTGAAAAGGGGAGTACTCCTCCAGTTCGATGTAAACACCTGCAAAGATTTACTTGAATGTAAATACTGTGGAATCATTAGAATTCTTGGTGGCTCAATTTTCGTGATATTCGTTGGTAGCCCCCCCCCCCCCCCCTCCCCCCAAACCACCACGAATTTACATCTTCATAGGAAATTTAGAAAGAGATATCTTTGTTACTGCATGAAAATGAAAACCGACCCATACACGAAATTACATCTCCACAAATAACCAAAAAAAATCCACAATCTAAGAAATTTGGCCCACAGAATTTTAAATGAATTCACAATAAAATTGTAACAATGTTTATTTATGGTTGCAATAGATATACGTTTTTTTCTCAAATAAAAAAAAATTTAAGGTCGCGTTTATCGTAATGAACGTTTGAAATAAAATATTTGCTTGCAAATATGACATATATAATAAAGATATTTAACGAAAAATTGCGTTTAAATTACCTAAATCTGGATTTTAATACCCCAAACGATTTTTCTATGACAACACGAGTCTTTCCATGGGCATCGTTGTAATTCACTTCGTGTTGATTTGCTGGGGATAAGAATGGCGTTAAGAGCCATTCCTTGAGAGGGTAGCCAGAATCCCCAAGTAACCACCCACCCCCTTCGAGATGTTCCATAACACCTGACAATCCCGAGTTGCTCAAAACGAAAGAGTCGTGAGTTGCCCCGGGAAAACAGGTATTGATTTGAAGAAATCTGAAATAATATCAACCATTTTTTCATCCTTTATGCATATGTAAGCAAACAATTAGCATTCTTATATTTGTTATATTTGTTTGGTTATATTTGGTGCAATAATTTATTTTAAAATTGACAACATTTACATTTTCAAAGGTTGTTATTTCATAAAACCCTTTTGACGATATATTAAATATTTTGATTTTCTCCTGTTGAAGTTTTGGCGTATACAAGGGTATTTCTATTACAAAAAAAAATGATGTGCTCGTATTTATGTTTTAATCAATACCGTTTATACCTCATATTGGAATCTGTTACGGCCTGAATATTTAAGGCATGAAAGTTTTTTCTGCATACAAAAGCAGGCTCCTGTGGTCCACTCATGCCCTTAATTGGTATTAGAGTACCATCGATTGCACCAACGCAATTGGGAAATTTGGCAATGTCATAGAACTCAGATTTTACATGGCGTAATTCATTGGCAGTAACTGGAAACTTAATGTTGTCCACTGTTGTATTTATTGCACTGCACACTGTATAACAATATGATGAATCTGCGTTAAAATCCTTAATGATATATATAAAGAATATTTGAAAAGGAAATGTACAACTGATTAAATGTATTACAGGCATGTGGAAACATGAAGGATAGTGTATACAAACATGTACATATCATTATTATAATTATTATTATCAGTATACCCCATAGTACTTGCAATTGTCACTTTTCTGAAACTGCTAAACCTAATTTCGTGAAACTTTGCAGTTATTGAGAACACATTGTGTAGGCGCATATTACAAAGAAATTCCGCTTCAATTTTTTTCTGGGAATTTCGGTACTTTTTATTACCGGGGGTATATTCATTTTATCTGTACAAAATAAAGACTCAATAATTGCACGGAGTTTTAATACATGTAACGATTACTTTGGAATTATGCCTCATTTTGAATTACTTGTGTGTATTTAATGTGTAACATGCCATTTATTTTGCATGACATTGTCAAATATTAAGAGGGGAGGGGCGTGGGATGTGTTAACTTGCTCACATTTTCTTTTATTATCATTTGTGAATGCAGGGGACAAAATGTTAAAACATTCAAGGGGTCAAATCTCCACATCAACGATGCTACGTGCCTGCAATAATTTTTAATAAAAATAGAGTTAATATCATTTTTAATTTAAAATAATGAAGTATAACAACCTGTGTGTACTACTCGGGATACGGATGATCTGGAAACGCCATGAAGGTCGCCTACTTCCGAAAAGAAGTCTGCCTTTGACAGATATCTTAAGGTGATAATTACCTGTAAGATGTTTATGTGTATCTTTATATATACATGTATAAATAAGTATGCAAATGAAGTTTAATTATATTAATAGGTACATTGTAAAACTCATTATATTTGTCATATCATGTGATTCCATGCGTCAGTATTTGATTATTTATGTGTGGATATTTAAGAAGTATACAATGCTACAGTAAGCATTCACACAATTTATACATGTACCTGAATGTGGGTGGGAATGGCATGACTTTTGTATGTAGGTCGCCTCACAATAGGGTCAACATCATTTATCAGTTTTCGAATGACTCTTCCCGGGAACCTATACCTACTTACGAGATCTATATCATCAAGATACTCGAGAGGGTTGGTTCGGTCCCGAAAAACGCGTTCTCGCCGAGGTGTTTCCCTTCTTCTTCTGTGAAGCAGCCAGAAAGTCGCCATTATCCAATGTTTACGTCTATACTTACGCCTGCCTTAGACCAGCCGTAGATTTTTGTCTTAACTTAAGGCGGGCGCAAAGTTACGCCCTTTAGTGAAACGGATCTTAGTCCAAATGTTAGACGTAAGTCCGGACTTACGCCGGGCGTAGAGTTAAGACAGGCGTACGCCTTTTAGTGAAACGGGCTCCAGGCTCAGAAATATGGCTTAAGCAGAAAAACACTGATTCTCAGTGTTTGTTCGGAAAGTCCACCTGGTTTTGCTTTACTGGAATTATTGACAGAAACTGGCAGTGAATCTACAGGGAATGCATGCATAAGAATCAATGACAGACTCTATATATCAAGTTCTGAATTCAGAAGAATAAAAAATTCTGGTTATATTCCTGATTCTATGGAACATGGTCTTTGTGTCAACGGTATTGTTGGGGAATTTGAATTTGACCTCGCCCACTGTTTTGTCTGTGACTTTTGGCCCCCTCCCGCTTTCCAATGGAGAAACAGGTGTCACTCATGGCCTCCGCCTCCTATCATTGATGAAATAGTCCGAAAAGGGTGCAACTTTGTAGCAGTAGGACACAAATTAGGAAATCATGCTGACAAAGAATGGAGAATTTCCTTCTCTTTGGCAGAGCAATATCTAGTTTCCTGTATGAATCATTGCCAATTTTTAACATATGGTCTGCTCAAATTGTTTTTGAAAGAATGCATCAACAGTGGATTAAGTGATGGGGATAAATTACTGTGTTCTTATCACATGAAGACAGCTCTTTTTTGGGTGATTCAACTAAACATGATGCCTTATTGGTGTCCCCAAAATCTCCTGCAGTGTTTCTGGGTCTGTTTTAAACTTATCCTAAATTGGGTGTATGAAGGCATTTGTCCAAATTTTTTTATTCCAGAAAACAACATGTTTCTGAGCAAAATTCATGGTCATGCACAAAAAGATTTGTTCATTAGACTCCATGGATTATATGAGAAGGGTTTATCATGCCTGCTTCACAGTCCATCCATCAGGTCCCGTGTCATAAGTGTCCTTCAAAATCCTAGGCATTTTGATTATACATATGAATTAAGAAATTCTAAGTTGGTGTTGGAAGTAGATTTATTCGGCGAAATACATCGCAATTTTCAACCTATACTTGACCTACACCACTGTATAAAGTTTTTGAATGCTTTAAGAAGGTTGATAATTTTACCCCTGACACAATATTAGAAATTTTTTTTTAGGAAGTGTACATCTTATATACTCCAGGGTACAGCTTTTATGTTACTTAACGCTGTAACAGATTCTTTACCGCTCGAAGAGGATAATTTATGTAGGAATAAAGTGATATATTTAACTGACAAACCATCGCTTTTCATGCTGAAATTAGCTGCCAAGTTTGGGTGTATTTCTGACAAGTTGTACATTGCTATGTTTTATTACAAGACATTCAGATACTTTGAAGCTTTAAATATAATAGAATCTACAAAAGCCAAGTTAGCACAGCCATATGTAATGTTGAGGGGATATATAAATCCACAGGCCTACAAGGCTGTATGGAAACTTTCCTGGTCTACAAAGATGAGAGAGGCTGTAGCATGGGATATTATTCCGAACAATAAAATTTGTTACATTAATGAATTAGTGCCAGAACAACAGTCAGGGTTACAGTGTGGTTTACCAGTATTATACATCCCCCTCTATGTTTTCTTACACATGTTAGAAGTCTTGTGTTACAGACATGTAGACCCAGTGAGAACACAAAGAGCTCTAAATGATCTACAAGATCTTGTGCACCATGATCCGGGGACATACATATCCGAAGAACAAAAAGACATATCATGGGAGATCCTAGGAATTTGTCAACAGGTTACAGGGAATTACCAAGCTGCTCTTTATTCCTACCAACAATCCCTGAAACAAAAGAAATTCAACAAAATACAAGCCGCAACATTAATGAGGATACTACAAGTCATGGACCTAATCCATATAGTCTAACATTTTATTGTTACATGTAGTTCATTGAGTACATGTAAATAAATTTTAGAATACGATTTTGTTTGTAATAATTCAACGATTCAAAACTTCTTTACAATGGTAAGAAGCAGCTGTCACAAATTTCCTTGTGAATTGAAAGTCGGTTTTTAACTTAAATTTTTATCTTCAAAAATTTAAACAAGAGGCCCACGGGCCTTATAGGTCACCTGAGTAACATGTAACAACTTTCCAACAACTGAATTTAATTCGACTATTTTAAACCAAAAACCTTGAAATTCACAATTTTAAAAGAGGCATTATTGTTTATCATAACTATACACTTAGCATGTTTATTTTGGTTACTTGATACCCAAAGGCAGATCAGAGTAACAAAGAAAATGCATTTCCACTTTATAACCACCAGTTGTACACACCAACCCAGAGGAACCACTGACCCTGGGGCCACATATTTCAAAAGAATGGGTGGACTTAACTAGCCAGAAAAAATGCTGCAAATTCAAGTTCCATAAAATGTTAATTTTTTTCCATCACATAAACCCTCGATATCTTAACTGTGTGTTTATGCTACGGATGTAAATTTAAAATGCTCTTTTCGAGGTAAACTAAATAAATATCGAAGGCATGGTGCCTGAAGATTTGTTGAATATCAATAGATAATCAGGGTCATGCATTTTTCATCGTCCGAATACATAGTCAGCGCATGCTTGTCGGCTGTTCTAACGAAAACTGTACTTGTATATTGAACAAAATAATGTCATATTAAAAGGAGAAGAGCTGACAAAATTTTTAATGTGCGCTCACACTTAATTTAACAAAAAACGTTCCAAACAAACTTCTCGCTTCCATTGTTACGACTTCGATTGACCTTTTAATATTACAATTCATCACGTGATGTCCACCTGCGAGTGTACTCGTGGAAACAGTTACATTGTTTCTTCAACTTGACCTAGATGTAAATCACTATGTTGGTGCCGTTTTCAGAATTTAGCACATTAGATGTTTTAATTTTGCTTGTCCTCACATTTTAAAAAAAAATCATAAAGAAATCGCTGTAATATTCCAAACACGTATTCGAATTTCTAGAGAGAGAGATGGAGAGAGAGAAAAATGTCAACAAGACACCGATCGATAGCCCCGCCTCCTATCAATATTGATAGCGCGACCTAAAAACCACTCCAGTACATGTCAAATTCCGGAAGACGACACTAATGTATCCTTGTTTCAATTTTGATTTATGGCAATAAGGCATTGCTTTTGTACATATGTTCTAGCTAAAATAGCCATGTATACGTCACTCTTTCTAGTGGTTGTAATATATTTTGGATTCACTTTATTTTCAATTTGTTAGAGTAGTCTCAAAAAGATCCAAAATAGGGCGTTAAGTCCACCCATTCTTTTGGACATTTCATAAATTTCATTTCATCAGAAATTGGTGATTAATATCAAAGAGCAGATTTCAAAGTATTACTTTATTTTCAACCCCCCCCCCCTGCGTCTGCAGAACCCCTAATGCATTGGTCCTGAAATTAACCATTTTGGAAGTGGCATCTTTTTTCATCATAAAATATATTTAGATCATTGGCATTATACCAAAGAGCAAAGGAAAAAATTTCCATAAGATTCATGTGTTTTCACAATAAAATGATTATAGAGCCCCGCCCTAACACCAGAACCCCTGACCTAGGGGTCTTGAAATTCACAAATTGGGAAGCTGCATCCTTCCTCATCATAACTATAAACATAGTTTATTGGTTTTATACCCAGGAGCAAAGGAGAACATTTTTAAAGAATTTATGCATTTTCACTATATAATCAACAGAGCCCCGTCCAAACACCAGAACCTCTGACCCTGGGGCTATGAAATTCATAATATTGGATCTGTCATCATGTTCTTCTTATTGTACAATGTATTTTTTTCTGTTAAAAACAAGAAATTATCTGTTCACATTGTCAGGATCTGTGCAAATGTTCTATACTGTACCTTAACAGGTTCCTAAGGATTGGGGTTGAAAATCAAACCACAAAATTCAGCGATCAAAAGTTATTAATACGATACGAAACTTCCTTCCTATATTATGCATATTCCCGCATCCCAACA